CAGTCCATCCCCCCCGCCGCCGTTTCCCTCTTGGTACAAACAACCGTGGTTGCCATTCTCATCACGTGTCTATAAACATCTTCTTAATTGTTCTTGCTCGTCATCTCTCATCACCACTCTACTCCAGCAGTTATCTCGAGCAGCCTACGCGGCAGAGCCAAAGTCGCCCTCCACACCGTTGATGCTGCTGCCCTCGCTAGACGGCGCATCCTGGTTGTAGCTGTCCCAGTTGGCCAGCACCGACGCAATCTTGGGCGAGTTGGTGAGCTTGTACACCTCCTCAAAGTATTCCTTAGTGATCGCAAACGGCCTAGCCGTCACGTTGGGAATATATTTGCCAATGAGCTTCGAGGGGTCGATCGTCGTCCTGTTGATCTTCTTGAGCAGGAACGAACGGAAGGGCTTAACACCCGACCGCAGGAAGGTCGAGTGGAACGGCACGTCGATACCCTTGAGAGGGATCGTCGCGAAGCCCCTCTGGAGGTCGAGCGGCGTCGGCTTCTTGAGCGTCTCCTCGGCAGAGCCCTTGACAATCTCTCGCAGCGCATCCTTGGCCTCTGCGAGGTTGTTGCGCATCTCGTCAACGTCAATCTTCTGCACCTTGAGGAAGTTCATCACGCCAGTCAGCGTGTCGAGCGCCCGCAGGTCGCCTGCCGCGACGTACTGCATGTTGGCGATGTTGTAGTTGACAATCTCCAGCAGCCAACCCGTCTCCTCAGCGATCATGTTGACCACGAACTCGAGTGCCTCCTCGTTGAACGTCTTGGAGATGCGGCTGGGGTTGATGGCGCACATGGAGTAGTTGGAGCGACCTGCGGCGTCGCGCTCGACAGCAACCTGCATCGTCAGGCCGCGATAGAACACAACGGACACCAAGCTCTCAATGGGCATGACCTCGGCCAGGGCCGCAAGTGCCGAGTACTCGCCGAGGGAGTGGCCGGCGAAAGTGCAGTCGCGGGGCACAAGACCCTTGGACTTCATGTCCTCAAAACTGGCCTTCTCCATAAGCGTCAGGGCGGGCTGTGTGAATTGTGTTGCCGACAGAAGGCCAGTAGGCGACCTGTACGTGTACGAAGTGGTCTTCTCATCAACCTCCTTGAAGATCTTCTCCGACTTGATGGAGCCATCAGCTGCCACTGTCTCGAAGGTCATGGCCATGTAGTTGGCACGGATGGCTTTGCCACGAGGGCCACCAAAGTGGATGGTCAGCTCCTTGGGGTTGTTCTTGACGATGTTCGTGATTGAGAAACCTGCATTCATCAGTACAGTCACTTGAAACACGAGAGTAAGATTGCTTACCGTAGTTGTCCATCAGATAGGTATCGGCGCGGTCCCACACATCCTTGGCGACAGGACTGCTGGCATAAAGCTCCATGCCCATGCCCTGCTCCTGAGAACCTTGACCGGTGAACACGTAGGCCGTCACAGGCTGCTCGATTTCGGCCTCGGCCTAGGAGACCCTTCTCCTCGTTCTCCTTGTTGAGGGCCTCAACCTTGATGATCTTTCTGACCGGGCACCATGCCGACGAGCT